CACAACTGAATTTGCTTTCCCGTGAGAATTGGACAGACAGTTGATGCTTAAACCTATTAGGGGCGGAACCACGTCCACTTTTAAAAAATGCCAAATACCAGCCTTGCATCTTATTGTGGAGCTGAGTTATGACAATTTATTTGTTTTTGATTATTGGCGTTTTGTGGGCGTGGCAGTCCGATTACGCCCATCTCCAATACCAACCGTCTTACTGTATCAAAAAACATGTGTACCAAGTTTCATAAAGATATCTCAATTTAAAGGTAAGGTTACAGCTTGCACAGACGGACGGACGGACAGACCATTTATATATATATAACCCTATTCTTAACTTAATTAGTTTTAGGTGATACAAACAACCGTTAGGTGAACAAAACTTTTATACTCTGTAGCAACATGTTGCGAGAGTATAAAAATTACTTCGCACACCCATACTGCACTGGCGGCATTCGGCCGCTCATCAAAAAAATAACCCTGGTCAGTCCAATACCGGGGTGTCCATAGTTCTTTTGCGTGCAGTAAGGTTCAGGGTCCAAGGCCGCCAGTGCCGATAAGAAAATTTGCATAACAGTGGGTGGCGCTATACTTACTTTTCAACTTTTCAAGTTAACATTTCTTACATTATTTATTATATTAATTTGTAATTTCGAAAATTATTGTTACTTTGGGCGTGATTATTACACGATTCACTTATTTTCACGTCGTATGAAATAGAAATGAACACCAGGTTTGACATAGATGTAGTGGGTTGAGTGATATATTATATTAATCCCATCTGCAAAACAAATCTTTTCAGAGTGCCTACAAAATGTCTAAATTATGAATCAAGTTATATAATATATTGCACGAGCAGTAACACTAAAAAATTTGTTGAAATGCCTCCAAATGTAAAAAATAACATCGGATGAATAGAAAAAACTAAGATAAATTTTGAAGGCAAATCTTTTCGATAAATCGCTCAATTGGTCGGAAATCTTTCAGAAGTACAATTTCACTTATATGTAATAGAATATTTTGAATTTTTTAATGTTAAATGCACTTTATCCCGATTAGATATAGAATGCCACTTTTATACACTAGGTATAACACTTTAAATTGTTCAATGTTAAATAATCTTGAGTTTGGGGCACTTCCGGACAACTGCGCTGCTACGTGGTTTAATGTATATGATTTTGCTTCATATTTGTAAAATTGGTTATGTGAAGCAATGAGTGATGTCGTTGTTGACAGTACACACAACTGAATTTGCTTTCCCGTGAGAATTGGACAGACAGTTGATGCAAAGTTTATGTTGTCGGACAAGATTGTTTCTATCTGAAACGGACATTTTTTTAAATTTCTCGCAAGATCTTATATTATGTCCTCCTTTACAGATTTCACATAATGATTGCCAATGGTTTGTTTGATTTGACACGAATGTTTGGCTTCTAATAACGTGTCTATTATATTGTGTGTTTTTACTGACTTGGGGTTTAAAAAAGTTTTTATTTGAGTCATTTTGATGACCTTTTGGCTTAACTACCTTTTTATCTACTCGCTCAGCTATTTTGTACTGAGTTGTTAAAAATTTTTCCATTTGATGCCATTTTGGCGATTTCTTTCTTGCCACTAGTGATTGCTCCCATCTTAGCAAAGCAGCATCAGGTAGTGTCGCTGCGCATATATTTACTAGGATAGGGTCCCACGATTCTGTGGCTACATTTTGTGTTTCGAACACAGATAAGCAATTAGTCACTGTCGAGTATAGTTTTTGAAATTCTTGGCTGGTTTCTTGTTGAATTTTTGGTAAATTCATTAAAATAGTTATTTGGTTATCTACCAATACTCTCTCGTTTTCGTATCTTTCGACCAGTGCATCCCAAGCCAGATTAAAATTTTCGTCATTCAAAGTGAAACGCTTAACAATACTGCCTGCTTCCACTTTTGTATTGTACTTGAGATGGTACAGCTTTTGTGCTCGTGAAAGTTTAGGATGGTTGATATACACGGCAGTGAACATGTCCCGGAAGGATGGATATTGATCATAACCTCCATGAAAAACTTCAGTATCACAAGCTGGTACTTTTAAAAATATACCTGTATCTAGGTTTTCTTTTGGATTTGTAACTACTCTCGGAGGAGGAGTAGTGGCTCTACATGGCCTTAATAAATTTATTTGGTCTAATATCATTGCCTTCGTAGTTTCGTACTGATCGAGGTAGTTTTCATATTTGGCTGACGCCGAAGCTTTAATGTTTTCTGGGAGTTCAGCGTCGTCAGTATCTAATATTGTATCGTACGCTGTCAGAACGCGTGCCCATATATTATCTATGCTTTACATTTTTTAAATTTAGGACTGATTCTGTATTGTCCTTAATAGGCGAAACCGAAAACCGTGTGCAGTATCACTTTCAGTTATGAACCTTGACAGTGAATTGTCTTTGTTTCTTTTTTGTTTTGCACCCTGCTGGTGTGCCTTGTGCTTTTTCATCATTAGCCATTTTTGGAATTTCTAATGATAGAGGTGTTCGTGGTTTAACCTCTTTTGATTTATCAGACTGCATTTATAACTCTTTGAATTAAATTGAAAGCTATTAGCTAGCTATTAAAATAGTTTGGTATTAAATATTTGCTATAATACGGTTGTAGTAAAAAATTTTAGTTTGCTGCCCATAGCTGTAGTTAAAAAAAATTTTTTTTTTTTTGAAAATGATTGTAAAGTTAGTCTGTTATAATTTTTTTTTTGTTTTTTATTGGACAAGTCAATTTAGATTTTATTAAAATTTATGTCCGTATTATTATTATCTTAAAAATTGCCGAAATTGCTTACTGGGTATTCGTTTCACTCGCGAATAATTTGTATATTTTGTCTCTATGTATATTCGTTTTTATTATATGTATCTATATACATTTGTTCAAAAGGAACGTGAAAATAAAATTGTTCTTAACAACAAATGTATATACCTATATGTGCATACATATGTATGTTAATTTTAATTTTCATATGTTTGGTTATGCTAATCCGTTTTGACCGTATACTTTTTAGTTATATTGGCATGTGTACATATACATATATGTACATGCATACATGTAACGTGTTTTTGTAAAGTTTTGCTGAGTGCCTATATTTATATAATATATATATATATTTGTAAATATATTAATTTTTATGTATATTTTTAAGAGAATATATAAGAAAAATGAAAAGAGCAAAAAGGTTGGGTTGCGGTATATATGTAGCGCGGGAAATATGCCAATGTTTAAGAAAATATGTGTACATACATAAATGCCGATAATGTTATTGTTTTTTTTTTCTTTCTGGCTTTGCTTATATGTTCTAAGCGATCCTGCTTGTTGCTTTATTGGCCCAAGGGGTATCGCTGGAAAGTGTGCAAGTCGATGAACTTGACTTATAAACATTTTTTTTTGTATTTTTTCTTGTGGTGTGTTTGGATACACGAATTAAGCAGGCAGGTATTTGAACAACAGTAATTTTTATTTTATTTTTTATTTGAACTTTTAAAAGTAGTTAATTTATGTATGTACCATATGATTATGTATGCATATATGTATGTTGTTAAAAGGATGTTACTTGCGGTTAATATTTTTCGCGGCAAAGTTTTAAAGCCCAAAAATTTTGTATTTAAATAATAGGTATTTGCACATATGTATGTATGTATTTCTGTAATATATATGAGTTTTTGTTAGCCTTTGCTTATGTGTTATAAGCGATCCTGCTTGTTGCTTTATTAGCTCAAGGGGTACCGCTGAGAATATCGCAAGTAGGAATACTTGACTTCGAAAGTTTTTTTTTTTTAAAGAATATAACGGAGTGTTTGGAGGCACGAAATAAGCTGGGCAGGTGCCGTATAATATATATATATATTTTTTTTTTCTTTTTCAGTTATATCGTTCGGTTATTTATTTCCACCGAAATACCGATAAAACTGTAAACTAACATACATTTGTACATATGCGCATAAAATGTCTCTATTTGCAAATTTAATCGGAATGGACTCACTTTTTTTCCGCCAAGGGTTTATGGGTAGCAATACTTCCTTTCTCTTCTATTTTTATTACGGGTTTATTTTTGTTGTCTACGGCGTTTTTCCTGTGCGTTACAGTGCTCCTCTCTGCGTGCATGTTAGGATACTCTCCGGTGGCTTATGTAGATTTGTTTTTTTTTTTGTGTTTTAAGTAATTGTAAGTTTGGTTGTTTCACTTATGTGGTATTGTATCGCGCCCGCTTTTTATTTTTAGGTCTGTTTTTTTTTTAATGTTAAATACAATTTATCCCGATTAGATATAGAATCCCACTTTTCCTTATATATAATATAATATTTTGAATTTTTTTGTGTTAAATACACATTATCCCGATTAGATATAGAATTGTAGGTGGTGTATGATGTTGCATTGTGTTATGTTGTACGGTGGTTGTGAGCTTAGTTGTAAAAATGTCGCCGGATTAGAAGTCGCATGAACAATATTTAATAATATAATTATATGTACTTGAAGAAAACTTTTGTTCGAATATGTGATGGAGCCACCGTTCACCATTCTTTATCTATCTCTGTTGGTTTTGATAGTTACAATAACTTTTGGTTAATCAAAACTATTATACTCTGTACAAGATGAGACAAGGGTTTAAAATTACATATAATATAATATATACAATGCTATTCATAGTTATACATAGGTTAGCTGTGTACGGCTACCTAATTTCTAACTGTGTTCTGGAAATCAGCATCAGGTTAGTTAACAAACACTTCTTTATAAAAAATATGATTAATGAAGCGCTATTTACTATACGAGTTAAGACTAAGTATCAATAATATTTTGAAACTGCCAACGCCAAAAACAAAAAAAAAGTGCATTCCATATCTTATCGCACTGGAAATAACAGCTTGCAACATTTAGTTCTCGCAGGCGGTTGATAACATTATAATATCTAGAATAACGAGCTAATCTTATCTTTCGGAAAGGTGGGAATATTGGAAGCTAGAGTATTACACATGAGGTGGAACTGAAAGCATTGCCTACTTTTGCGACAGTCGAAATAGATATCAGCACAGTTCCGTAGTCTTTGTAGATATTTGCGATGATTTGCCGGCAACTCTATTTTGTTACAATTACATTGGCATTGACGCGCTGCGTCATAGCCGAAGCTATCGATGAAATCGAACTAGAACACTTTTGTTATCCTGAGCAACATAAAAATATCCGCAAATCTTGTGAATGTAGTAATGAAGATTCGCCGCCGTGGGGAATACGCGCCATAAACATAGATTGTAGTTACAAGATTTTGAAAACAAGCGACTTTTCTGAAGTATTGCCGCTCTATGTGAATACTTTGGACTTGTCGTGGAACACAATGGACGAAGTGCCCACATTAGCTAGCGACAGTTTGCGAGTGTTGAATGTTATGCACAACAACATTTCCACATTAACCAACAAAAAATTTGTCAAGGTTTCTTATATCCGTGAACTCTACTTGGGCTGGAATAGCATACAATCAATCGAGTTGAGTACTTTCGACGAGTTGGCCCACTTGCAAGTACTGGATTTATCGCACAACAATGTCCATATGTTGGGCCTCCAGTTGTTCCGTTCGTTAATTATACTAGAGACTTTGGATTTGTCATGGAATCGACAATTAAACCAAACTGAGGATATTCAAGACCAGGACTTTTATCGCACTTTTGGTGTTAATACGAAATTAAAAACCTTGCGCATGCAAGCCTGTAGTTTAAGAGATCTGGTTTTACCCGAAAAGGTGCCACTCGTAAAATTAGATTTACGATGCAATATGCTAGAAAGAATTCCAATGAATCTTCCTATTACTTTGGAGATACTTGATATCAGTGCTAATCTATTCCAGAACATTTCGTCAGTGATTACAGCTAATTTGTCTTCCACGTTGAGTGAGTTGTTGGTGGAGGATATGCCGCGTCTGCAGTCTGTCGAAGAGAATGCTTTCGAAACACTTACTGGATTGAGAAAGATCAGTTTTCAGAATAGTCGCCGTTTGACTAAGTTTAGTGGAAACGCATTTGGTTCTGATGTTGATCGCTTTCCAATGCTACGAACACTGATTTTTCGTGGCACTTCAATTGGCTCATTTAATGCTACTTTGGAGCCTATTTTCAAACAACTCATCGAATTGGATTGCAATGGTGTGCCGCTTATCTGCGACTGCGAATTAGTATGGATCAAAGAGATGAAATTGGAAACTAATGGTCGTTGCTACAATCCCTCACAGTTGAGGGGAGAAACTCTAACAAGTGTCGATAAATCCGACTTCAGTTGCCCTCAGTGGCCTCATTGGGTCGGCGGGCTCTTCATTTTCGGGCTTATTTTGCTATGTACCGTTGGAATTTGTGCAGTAGTTATGTGTCTACGGCCGAACAGGGGTGGGGTTATTCTACGTCGGCATGTGGGGTCGGGCAGCCCATATGCCAGAGTTACTATCGAACCAAATAGACAGGAAAACTATTATTGATACTTACTATTACTAAATATATAGCATAGTTTACTCAAATAAAATTATAGTATTAACGCGATGTGATTAAATAAAAATGTATTTATTTAAAACATATATTTTTCTTATTTTACGAACATACATAAATATAAAATTTAGTTCGTATTTGTATATTTCTGATAACGAAATCTTATCTTTGTGTATACAGTCCAATAAGTGTGAGTTCATTGTACAAAGGTTTTACAGTGAAACCGGTGCTGTATTGAACACAAGAACAATGTACAGTATCCCTCTGGATATTGCACTTTAAAATTGCATAATTTTTGGTTCTATTAAGCGGGGAATCAATTAACCGATACTAGTTTAATTGAACAATTCCTTTAATTACAGGAATCCCGCTTAATTGGACAAAATAATCAATTATAAGAATATCCTTTGCGCGCTTTAAGTGTTTATTTAGTTTTTAGTAATTATGTTTAAATATTATTTTTAACTTTAAACGGAATAAACATAAGGAACAAAAACAAGGCAATGCACTTACTATGTACATATATATTTAGAGATATAAAAAGTAAAAAAAAACTTAAGGTACAAAAACAATTTATATTATTGTATAAATGCAGCACTTGCATTCACACATTTAGAGATAGTTGCTTACAATTTTATGACGTTAATTTAGGAAGTCTGTAAATCTTTTTTTGTTTATTGTTCAATCTACAAGAAATAACATGCAATTCTATATTCCCTAATTCATACAAAAACTTGTTTTCTAAATAAAAATATGTTTGAAGTTTTTGTATGTCTTTTAAAACTTGGGGAACCGACGGAGGCTTTGGAATATAATTTTCTTTCTCTTGCTCCTCAACATCAGCACCAGAGCTAAAATCAGCATCCTCCAAAATATCTTTACCAATAAACATACATACATATGTTTTCAATTCCTTTGCAGAGATGTCAACTGTTGTTTATCACAAATGCTGGGAAATACATATGTAAATTGATTCCGATTGTACTACGGAGTGTAAAGTGTTATCAAATCGTTACTCATCATATAAATCATTTAAGTTCATTGAAGTGCCAATCGTGTTCTATAATCAGTGTAAAGGTGTTACTTTTATAATGAGTGAGCGCAATGCGCTTAATTTTGCAAACAATGTCGCAATCTTAAATAGAAAAAGAAAAAACAACAACGTGTTCGAACACACAATGTCGAAAAACGATCTCGGAGAGTGTAATGAAACACTTCAAAAATTCGAACAACACGTTCGTTCCAATAATCTAAGTAACGAATATGAACAAAATGAAACTAACAATACAACAAAAAACAATCCATCAACAAGTGCAGCGGGTACTTAGAAAAATCAAAAGTTAAATTCTATTCTTACACCCCTAAATGTTTAAAAACAAAAACATACCTATTAAAAGGGCTAAACGGCAATACCGACCCCGAAGAAATTTTTAATGAACTTTGCACATACCAAAACGATAACCTAAAAATTCTCAAAGTTAGTCAATTTACCACAAAAATTTCCACGCAACGCAATATAAAACTACCTATGTTTATGGTTCAAACAAGTGCCGAAAGTAACATTAACGAATTAAAAGCAATCAAAACTATTTTGTACCACTGCATTAAATGGGAACCCCTACGGAAAGCTGAGATTCCGCAATGTAGGAACTGTCAAAGTTTCTTTCACAGCGCAGCTAATTGTAATCTACCACCAAGATGTGTCAAATGTAGCGGAACACATAAAACCAAAGATTGTACCTCATTAGACGCAAACTCAACCGAAAATGAAAAGGTGTATTGTGTTTTATGCAAGAAATTTGGGCACCCAGCTTCCTATAAAGGCTGTGAGCGATATAAAGAGCTTCAACAAAAAATAAGAATGAAAAAACAAAACCTAATAGCCACGAAAATAAACACTAACCAAAATTTTACTAACTCTAATTTAAGTTATGCAAATGTTTGTAAACAGTCATCTGGTATATTTTGTGATACCAATAATCAAAATTCTCAAAATACTATATTCGAAAACTAAAAAATACAATGTTATCTTTAAGTAAACTATTAACAGTTCTGCAGAAGCAGTTGGAAATACAAACGGCAAGAGTTGATGCAATTTACAATATAATAGATACAGCATGAATTCAGACCATACTATTACTATTACCCAATCCCAGTTAAATATAATTTCTCTTAATGTTAACTCGCTTATTAATATAAGCAGGAGAATAGAGTTACATAAATTCTTATCGAATAATAAGCCTGATATTCTTCTGTTGAACGAAACTAAACTTAACACAAAACACAAACTAAAATTTATAGGGTATAATTTAATAAGAAAAGATAGATTGTTAGGATCAAGAGGGGGAGGAACCGCAATTCTAATTAGTGAAAACATAAAATACACGAAAGTCTTTCACCAACACGTTATCCTGTTAGAATGTTGTGTAATAAAAATACATATGCCTCCGAATAACATCATGTATATAATTTCAGCCTATTACCCGCCAGGTAATAATAACGACACATTTAAATCTGAACTCAACACATTCTTTGAATCCTTAAACCTACAAAACCCCAACCACTATTACATATTAGCTGGTGATCTCAACAGTAAACACACAGACTGGGGTAACCCACAAAACAACTCTAAAGGTAAAGCCCTAAAAAACTGGCTGACCTCTAACGAATTAAAGTTCAGATGCAATATGTATGCTTCGGTTTCTCCATCTTACGAAAGAGCTAATTCCTTTCTAGATATTTGCATTGCTGATCACAGAATAGATATTCACAGAGCCAATAACACAATTAACTGCTTGAGATGCATTGATTACGATAGCGATCACTGCGCTATTCAAATCGTTGCGACTAATAGGGACAACACAAACTATTTTACTTTGTTAGGCAACCCAATAAAAACCACATTTGACTACAAAAGGACTAACTGGACCAAATTCAAAAAATATCTAAACATGCAACTTCAAAGCAAACCCCTTGTACCAAACGATAGAAACGTGAGCAACACAGAGATTGATCACCATTTGCTTCATTTAAATAATATTGTCTTGGAAGCCATAGAAAATAATGTACCAAAAGCAAAAATCATTAGCCCTACTCAATCTCTTGTAAACTTGCCTATCATAAAAAAACTGCTAGTAGAAAAAAGTAAAATCCTTTCAGCCATCAAAAAACATAATCGACTTCAAACATACCTACCTCCCACGACACTTCAAGTAGAAAAAGCAAAACTGAAACTTGTAAAAAAACTAATAGATGACAATATTAAGAAGCATTTTAATAACCAACTCGAACAGAGACTTACTAGCCTTAAGACTAACGATCCCTCAAAATTTTCCGTTATTAAAAAATCGTTTATAAAAGATAACAATAATACAATCAGTCACATAAATATCCCCTTAAACTCATCCAACATAATCCAAAACGCTGGTTTAGACCGCGACCTTCTGCAAAAAGACTTAGTTAAAAACAACTACGTCATCAACAACAACAAATTTATAAATGAAATAGTCGGGACTCATTTCGAAGCAATCCATGCTTCAAAAGAAAGTAAACCCAACAATCCAGTCCACTACCAGGTACAAGAATGTTTCAGAAAGTTTTTGGAAATGAAAACTTTATTCGACAGCGCTCGAGCGACCAAAACAAACTTCAATATCAACAAAATAGCCAATAATTTAAATGACGACCAAACGGAAAACTTTTTTGTTAGTTCAAACGACCTTACAGACGTATTCTCTAAACTAAAAGGTAAACTATCATCCGGCTTAGATCAAATACCCAATATCATTCTAAAAAATTTCTCCCCAGAACTAATATTAGAATATTGCACTTTATTCAATAATATGTTAAACAATGCCTACTTCCCACCTAATTGGAAAACAGCTAAACTAATTGTGATACCAAAGAAAGATAAGGACAAAACAATCAATGAAAAACCTTCGGCCAATTAGCTTGCTACCAAATATTAGCAAAGTTTTTGAAGTTTTGGTTAACATAAATATAAATAAAGTTACTAAAACCAACAACTTAATTAGCCCTAAGCAATTCGGGTTCAAACACAGGCATTCGACTATACATGCCATTAATCTTCTCGTCTCCGAAATAAGCTGGAACTGGAATAAGAAATATGTCACAGGTGCATGTTTCTTTGACCTTGAGAAAGCATTCGATCAAGTATGGATCGAAGGGTTAATATGTAAGCTCATCGGCTATAAATTCTCTCTCCATCTGATTATACTTATTTATAACATGATACCCGGCAAAAAATTTTCTGTTCATATAAATAAATAATACAAAAAGCAGTCGCGAATTTCACGTAGTAAATGGTCTGCAACAAGGGACAGTAAATGCTCCAATTCTGTTTAATCTTTTTATCCTCGACTTAGTACAAAAAATGGACAACATTGTAGCCTTCGCTGACGACATTGTCATTTACCACTCCGACAGAACGATCGACAGTGTTAATAGGAACCTGCAACTCAAATACAATACTGTTGAGAATTATACAATAAACTGGCATCTGAAAATAAATATTAACAAATGCGAAAGTATCCTTTATCGCCCTCCCGTTAATAAATGTAACTCAAACGTTAAAAAAAAATGGAAGGAGTTTAATATAAAATCCAGTGTAGCAAATATCCAAATACAGCGCAAGGAGAGAATCAAATATCTTGGTATTCACCTCGATAAGTTTTTATATTTTAATGATCATATCAACATACAAATCCTAAAAACAAATAGAGCCCTTTATACTTATAAAAAAATGTTTTCTTCAAAACTGCTATATAACAGGCTTAAAATTATCATGTATCAATCACTAGTGAGACCAATACTTTCATATGGATGTTCAAATTGGTTTAATATCTCTCCTTCATACATGGAAAGACTCAGAAGATTCGAGAGAAGAGGTCACAGAATAGTAATTTTACCAAATTTATATCTAACTCTAAACTATACGACACGGCAAAAGTTCCCAGAATTGATTGTCACATCATAAATCTAATCAGAAAGCATATAAGTCGCTGCCTATATGATGACAATAACACTTTAATAAGAGCTCCTTTTTACGAAAGTGATGACAATTTTGCATTAGCTATTGCAAACGGATTTGCACCACCAGAATCCTTTCTCTACTTGGACAAAAATGGTTTCATCGAAAACAAAGACAACATCCCAATAATATATCACATATTTAGAAGAGCTAACAACAAAGTAGTCACTTCAAAAATACTCACTGCTGAAAATAAGCGATTCGACACATACATCTCGTTTAGAGACAAAACTAAAACCACTTTGACGAAACGGAACTGCTGGTGGCTATTAAATGATAATGATAACTAATTGACTCCTTGACGCAACTGGTCTGATTTCTTGTTCTTCTTTTAACCATTTTATATTATAAAATCATTTATGCATCGTTTTTTTTACTTTTTCCTTGGTATATATGACAATTTGTTGACATTCCATAATTGGCCTAAACGTACCCTACAAGAAACTGCGGATGGGTTCAACATTATTGAGAGGAGGAGATGGCATCAAGTGAAAATTTATTTTTATATTTTCATATTTTATTATATTTTTTGTTGCAGTCCTTTTTATATTTAAGTATATTATTATAACTAATTTTGATTAAAAGTTTGAAATTTATTAAAGAAATAAAAATTATATTATCTACTTCGCAAAAGAATTTTTCACTTCTGATAGCGTTTCAGTCATAAATGACAATTTTCAGCTATGACGGATTTATGGTCAGCAATGACTCAGAAAAAACAAAACAAACAAACAAAAAGAAAACAAGGCTCTTAAGAAAATGATAAAAACTTTGTTCTGCGCGCTGACAACATTTTTTCAGCTATGACTGTCATATTACCTATCAGATGACCGTCACTGTTCTTGTAGGGTACATAACAAATGTAAACAAATAGATGTATGAACTGTCAATGAAAACTCATCGAAAACACACAATGTCAGTCAGAACGACTTTGGTTTCATTTATTATTGGATTTTCGTCTTTTCGAACATATGCAAAACCAATATTCGAATCAGCTGTTTACAAACAAAGCTTGATAAATTTGAAATA